CCTATGATGCTGCTTGGCCTGCTGTGTTCATCCAGCCCTGCACCTTGTTGTCTCGGATTCTCCAGCATCTGCAGTTCCTACTATCTTTGATTGGCTTTGTTCAATACAGGTTTTGACGCTGGACCCAGTAATTACAGATCAGTCAGTTCAACTTTGGTGTTCAGGAAGCTTCTCAAAGCAGTTATTTGGGATAGAATTAATCATCACATGAAGAAAAATAGGTTAATTTGGAAGCACCGTTATGGATTAGCTAGGGGAACATCTTGCCTAACTAACTTGCTGTTAGAGGTAACGGAGTCGATTGGATTAATACTGTTGATGTGTTGTACATGGACTTTCAAAAGATATTTAAAAGAGTGCCACACAACAGGCTTGTGAATAAAGTTATAAGGGATGGGACTGATGAGATAGTAACAAGGTGGATATAAAATTGCATGAGATATAGGGAACAGAGAGTAACAGTTAAGAGATACAAAATTGCCTGAGGGAACAGGGAGCAGACAGTAACGGTCAATGGGCATTTTTCAGGCTGCAATGAATTTGTAGTTGAGTCCCCAGTATTGGGGCCATCACCATTCTTGCTATATATAAATGATCTGGATCTTGGTGTGCAGGGGGCAATTTCAAAGTTAGTGTATAACATAAAACTTGGGAGAACTGTAAACTGTGAGAATGACAGTGTGGAAATCCAAAAGGACATTGACATGTTCTGTAGTGCGTGGGATAGATGGCAGATAAAGTTCAAATGTGAAGAATTATGAGGTATAAAGAACATGGAGAGACAGCATAAATCAAAAGGTTCTATTCTAAAGGGTGTTCAGGAGTGGTAAGACCATCCGTATGTCACTAAAGGTGGCAGGATGGGTAGTGAGAACAATTAATAAAGTATACAGTCTTCATTAACAGGGACATCGAATGCATGAGAAAGGAGGTTATCACGAACCTTTGTAGGAGACGGGTTAGACTGGAATATTGTGTACAGTTCTGGGTGCCATTCTTTAGAAAAATGGAAATGCATTAGTGAGAGTGCAGAAGAGGTTTAGGGATTAGAAACTTCACTTATGCAAAAAGATCAGAGAAGTTGAGACAGTTTTCCTTGGAGAGGATAAGACTAAGAAGAAATTTGTATGCCAATGGAATAAGGGAGAGCTGTTCTCTGATTCAGGGCAAAACCTTGACCATTCATAATCCACATGACTTTCTTTAAAATTTAAACAACACTTAATAGTTAACAGTTAGTCATCATTAACCAGTACATTCTCCATGGCAACATCTCTACCGATCAGAGTCCGCTCACCTTCTCTCCTCTTGGACAGTATAAATGTTGGTATTCTTGTAAGTTGTCCTGATGAATGCAAGATGAAAAGCTTCGTCTAAAGTGTGTCTTTTTTGAACCAATATTCGATTTCTAGCGTACCAAACAATTGTACGGACTATATTTCAAAGATCCTACACTGCTCATGTCTGAATTACCATAACCCACCCAAACTTTTACTCGGAGCGTAAAGGATTTGAAACATTCCAAAAATAATACTCAGACATTCCCGTGGAATTGATTCAACTTCTGTTTGGAAATGAGTTGATATCTGCTGTAAGGGGTGCCAACTTCAGCTGGATGTATATTTCTGGAGTTTCACATGGCATCCTACCTTCCTACAAAATTGAAATGGACAGCTTATTCGGTATCCAATCAGATGATTCTTGAGTGCCCACCTCCAATAACCTTTATGACTAATAAGTTGAAGAAATCAAAGCAAGTTAGAGAATTCAAAGAAAATTAAAAGAAAAAGTGACTTTTTTTAAGCAACTGTTTGATTTTTCTACACCTGGAAACCCTGGAGGTTTGGGAACCTCCAGTTATTATTCATGTTATAAATGAGATTTCAAATTGAATGATGCCATGAACAAGTGAGGTTTTCATTAAACTGGGGAGACAAATTAACTCCAGCATGTTCCCTTTCTCACTGCAGATATCAGTCACTTCGCAAGGTTTGCTTTCTTACCATTTCAAACTGAAAAATTTCTTCAAAAAAACAACTTACTACGTAACATTACTTTGCCAAATACAGTGTGGTCCCTGGCTAGGGTGCTACAGTTCCACCTGTGGTGTCGGAATTGGTACTGACATTCACGGATCCACTCCTTGGCTCCCTCTCCGATGGACTGCATGATATCTGGATGCTTCTGGCACAACTGCCGCTGTTTGTTCACCAGGCCTGGGATATTGTCACAGATCACCCGTGCTCCCAGAGCTCCGATGTACCTGCGAGAGAGATCACACATGAACACTTCTTATTTATTCATTTTCATGGAATGTGGGCATCGCTGACAAGGCCAGCGTTTGTTGCCCATCCCTAATTGCCCTGGAACTGAGTGACTTCCTCAGCCAATGCAGGGGGCAGGTAAGAGTGAACCACATTGTTATGGGTCTGGAGTCACATGTAAATCAGATGAGGTAAAAATGGCAGATTTCCTTCCCTAAAGCACCTTAGTGAACCAGATGGGTTTTGATGATAATGGGTCACAATTAGACTAGCTTTTTATACCAGTCTTTCATCCACCTTTTTGAACTTAAACTCATGTCTCAGGACATTAGTGTGGGGTTCTGGATTACGAATCCAGTGACATTACTACCATATCATTGCCTCCCATGTAGAGAAGTGTATCAGATTCCCTCTGCTAAATGTATTAAGGGGTATCTTGTCAGATACAAATCAATGCAAAACACGGTAAAAAAATTCTGCCCAATATCAGCTGTGCATTAAATTAGAGAAGCTGGGGTTGTTTTACTTTGAGAAGAGATTGAGAGGGGATTATAATGCATGAGGAAAGCTCTTCCTATCAGTGGAAGGGTTGAGAACTAGACAGCACAGATTCAAGGCGACTGGCAAAAGGCCCAGAAGTGACATGAAGACAAATATACTTATGGAATGAATGGTTAGGACCTGGGGGAATGCACAGTCTGTGGGTAGTGGAGGCAGAGTTAATCACGGCAGTCAGTAGGGAATTGGATGGATACTTGCAGGACTGCAGGGAAATACCTAACATGGGAAACCAACTAACTTGCTCTTGCAGACTGCTGGCATAGGCTGATGGGCTGAATGGTCACCTTCCATGTTATAATAATTTCTTTTTTTAGTCGCTTGGTCATACAGAACTTGAGTATTGTGGAAAAAGACACATTTTATTGAAGCTTTTTGCTTACACTCATTAGGACATTTTGCAAGAATGAGAATTCAGAGGAAAAACCAACATTTACGCTGCTCTCTCCTCCCATGCAGTACAAATGTTGATATTCCTCTTTGTATTTGTATATCTGTGGATTGTCCTGATAACTCAAATCTCACTGCTAACTGAAGGGTCTTTTTGCCTCTTTCTGTGCCTAGAGCAAGCAGGGGCTTTGTTCCTCGTTCTGTCTCCATGATTGGAGTGGGGTGTGGGCTTGGCCTGAGCAGCTACAATACCAACGAGCTTCCTCTCCTATTCCTTTCACACTAGATTCCTGAAAAGCACAACAGGATTGGACAATGCAGTTCCCCACATTGGGAATGTTTGTCGGGAGATCTGCGAAGAAGGTACCAAACCCACTGATGACCCTGGATATCAGTGTGAGTGTCTGGCTTTAATATATATTCTCCAATCTTTTCTAGATCAGTCCAAATCCACTTTGTCATAAACATCATCAATTAAAAGTAACTCTCTGTTTTCTGAATTGTTTCCCTGGAAACTTGGTAAAAAGAAAATCCAAAACAGGGACTATGCCAAACACATAAGTGTAAAACTCCCCAAACAGAAGATATCTAATGGCCTTCCCATTACGAATGTACATTAAACACTAACCAAAGAACATTAAATCTTAAACACAAAATTAATCTAATGATTGCCAAACATAGAAATTACAATAAACCGAAAACATAGAACGACTTTCCACCAGAGAATGTGGATGTATCCACATATCATGTGCATGTACACATAGACA